CCCCTTCTGAAAGGACTCACCGATGGTTTCCCCCGACGAGAAATGAGAACAGTGCTCGGGATGTAGCCGTTCTAGCCTATGAGCGTATTTTTTCGTATTGCACAGGCCCATGAACTTATTTAGAGTACCTTCGTTTGAACCATCGTCTGGTTTTATGTGTATTCTTTTTGGTTACTGGTTACTTATCGTTTGGACAGCCAGTCAAATCCACCTTATGCCTACAGCGGTGCTTCCAATGGTTTTAAGTCACTGTTCTCAGCCGAATGAACAATAAATACCTACCCCATTAAAATCCAAAATGGGCGAGAAACGGCGTCAATTGTGATGGAACCTTATTATTTGGAAAGACGGAGGTTATTTGAGAGCACACATGGACACGGCTCTAACTTCTTACCGTATTCCTACGGTCCTCACCTTACGGCTTTTACACGACTGATACGTGTTATTTTACGACTGCTTACGGCCAGTTGCAGTATAAACTGCTCTCAATAGGAACTGAACTTCCGATTTCCTGTTTTCGCAAGAGATATTGGTACTCCCCAGCTGCAATCAGCGTGTGGTTCACATACGCATGATGTGGAATGTGTTTCCCACGAACCAGACTGTAGCTAATCTCCTGAAGATCGTCTTTCTTAGGTTACTTGTAGCCTACATCTACCAGCTAATTCTCACCCAATTGCATTGTTGATCTTCGATCCGATTTCAACTGGCTCTTCTGCCCTTATTAGGTTTCTTCCCACGACCGCACGGACAAGATATCAATCTCCGGGAGCGGGAGCGCGCCTGCAAAGCGAGCACGACGTCGCCAACGGCCGGCGACCGCTGCACGCGACAGAACTGCTTTAAAGGGCCGGTCGCTTCCGCGTTGCGATTGGAGCAGTTTCTTGTTTTTTCCAATTTCACGAAAGATTCTCCCTTCGAAATTGCTTGATTGTAGCTACATCCGTTCGTACTTGTCCAAAATACATTCATTCAGTTCACTGTAAGCCTTCTAGACTCCTTTTTCAGTACCCTCCGTTTATTCAACATCTACAACCCGTTAATGTCTTTATCTTTGCTTTCGTTTTCATCATAACGTAGAAGATCATGGCATTTTCGGATCATATGTCGGATGCCTCAAACTTTTTCAATGTGAGTTTGTATTTTTTGCGAATCGGTATCGTTCCAGTTGTATTCATCGTAAAATTTCAGTTTATGGTTTTGCAAGTACTTCATGGCCCCGTGGACTTGAAGTTTCCGAGCACTCAAAACAATGTCACGTTTTGTACCAGTGGAAAAAAGGTTGGCATCAGTGTAGAATTTTATCACTACTTCCAAAATCGCTTAGAAGATCAAAAAGGAAGACATCGGAGGGAAACTTTCGTGGCCATTCTATTGTTTAATCAAAACTGAGAAAAAACAAATGCTTGTTTTTTTCACTTTTGATTGAGCAAGGCAATGTTCATACCTCCGGTGCCTTTCTTTTCATGCATCCATATGAAGAAGTACTGTGGCAAATCCTAATAACGCCTATAGTTGCTGTAAACATAGAGTTCGCATACCTGGTGACGCAGATATTTCACCTGGTTGTCTTCCGCTATTGAGGACGTGAACTCACTGGATGTTTGACTGGTCAACCCTTCTCTGGCCCATATCGAACAATAATTGAATTGCATTTCAGAATCGGGGCATCATGAAACTTCAGCTATACACATCTTCAGGTGAAAAGAACATCATAGAAATTCCACTCGTCCATGTGGAAAATATAATGGTTAGCAATGTTATTTCTTCTACGTTTTGAACCTTCTCGAAGTAGGTGCTCACCATACAAATTATACTTATGACTTATTATAAATGGTAGCGGTGAAGATTTTGTGAGTTAAATTGAAGCTTTTTACGTTGGCTACTGTTTCTAGCGAGACAGGAGATGGAAGGGCTATCGAATATTGTAGGTCAAATTGAAATTCTTATTCTCNTTTTTATACAGTTCGGTTCATGTTTGTGCGTCCGTTTGCCTGGCATTGTATACTCACGAATGTATTCAACCCTAGCAAACTTCCGCGACCGTTTCTAAAATCCTAGAGTTAGGTAAAAGCTTGCATTTTATAAGTTAGGGTAAAAGTTTGCATTAAATAGGTAAGCAACTTTTATCAAATATTTGAAGCCAAGTTATAAAATATTTGAATTAATGTTACCAATTTTAATATTATCCCTCTTAAAAGAATCATTTATTCGGCCATGTATTGAACATAAAACACTCAGATACCTGGTCTCTAAATATGAATCATTTTGAAAGAACAGGTAGCCACGTTCAAGCTTAATTCCTCTGGTACTCAAAGAAAGCGCAGTTACTCATTTGCAAACCCAATATTTTGTTGCGACAGAATAGTAGCGAAAAGCTCTCATGCTTACTAGGTGACCTCTTTTTGATGTTTCACATCTTTGTGTGATACACATTGGTACCAAAGGAGGCCACTAGTTGGGATAAGTGATATGGGTCGAAATGCTTGTGGTGGGTGAGATAAACGGGGAGCGCCCAACTACTTCAAAGCCTGAGCTGGAATATTTATAGGATAGTGCGAAAACTGATTCCCTTCTCTCAGAATCTGAATGGCTCATCTTGAATTCATTTTATATAATTTGTAAAAGAGTATAGTCTAAGGGTTCACCAGTTTGAATGTATCATTCTTTTTCTAACATCATCCGAAGCTTGAACTTCACGTGCTTATCATGTCAGGAATGCTAGATTTTCATAAAACTGACTTTGAAATGGTCAAATATTGATCGCTTCTTTTCTCATTACCGTTGGAAATCGATAATAAGAGAAAGTCCCGCATATTTCCGCAAACGCGACTGCCTCTCCTAAATTCAGCGTGGTTCAACTGTGTCGGCCAATTTCAAGATTTAAATTTGCTGTTGCTGAAGTTTTAGACCGGGAAACCCTTGCCAGAGAAAGCGACTTCTTAACATGTCGAATCTGCTTTTTATTTCGAACTTAACTTCTCTGATAGATGATGAAATTCTTTCCCATTGGGCAGTTGAATTAGTTAATTAAGAAGTTCATATTTAGCAATATTTCTTTAAAGTAATTATCGCGGTACTTTGCAGATTTTCACGCATCCGCAACATCCATCGATAGCACTGCATCTTTCGGAGTTTGCAGCCAGGAGTTTGGCAATCAATCTTGGCACTCGGGAAAAAATAGAGCACATCAACCATGGTTTTGGTGATGCAAGCGATTCATCCATTAGGTCAGTAACCAGTTTTTTGCAGTGTCATGCTGCAGAAATAATGGCTCACTTCCAGGAAACTGCTTTTTGTCTTACGTCCATTCAAAGATGATTTGTTTGTTCAAGTGGGCTCCACTGAAGAACCGTATTACGGGGGAATAGATGAGCTTTGCGAACGTTTTGATTCATGGGTGTGTTTTTTTTTGCAGTAGTTAGAAATCATTACTATGAACAGCTTTTGGGCAAAAGTGGTGCTTAGGTTCGCTGTATTCGTGACAAGGACTTGTTAGCAAAGGAACAACGTCTAGCAGAAAAAAGCTGCTGCTCATCCATCGTGAGCAACTCGTCCAGGTTTTTTGGTCAGTTTATGTACTCATAGTAACATATATTCGGAGTAAATATCAATTTGTCAATAGGCCGACCTTGTTGCATATTCACTGCATCTTTTAACATAATATTGATGGTGAAGTGCAATCTGCTATCGTTATCAACCTGATCGTTATTCTTTTACGTAGAGGACCGAATGCATTTCCATCATATATATAGTCTTTTTTAAATTCTATTTTCTAATGCTATATATGAGTTTTTATAACTATGAAACTATCGGCGCTATTTCCCCAATTAAAATGGTGACAGACAGACATGTACTTGGGACACAGAAAAGCAAGAGGGTGTGTAGTTATGGAAATATGACTGCAAAGTTAGCAAAGTAAACTGCCTGAATGTCGTTTTCTTCTAAACTCTCACTCCTTATGTTCAATATTCATTCTCAGAGGGCTAATTTCATTCTCAGATCGTTTAAAACACGCGACCCCTTTCTCCTATTCCGGCTTTTCGTCCTCTACGTTAGACCTGTACTCGAATACTGCTCACCTATTTGGTCCCCGCAAAAAAAGACGCTAGTCGATGAAATCGAAAAAGTTCAAAGAAGTTTCACGTACCGATGCTTCATTCGAAAAGGTGTTAGTTCGTTCTCTTATGAGAA